ACAAATATCTAATTTCTATGCCCAGAATTAAACATGCAGATACAAACAGGAAGGGGCCCCTACTTTTGAGGACCGTAGAGAGACATAAAGAACCAACTACTGTGGCTGAGGGAATGGGCTTAGTCAGTAAAGTGCTTGCCACAAAACATGAGGTCATGAGCACAATGCCCAGAACTCACACAGAAAGACAGACGCAGTGGGGATCATTTGTAATTCCATCTCTGGAGAGACAGAGAAAGACAGCTCGCTGGGCAGGCAATATGGCCTATGTGGCAAGGGCCAATTCATTGCAAGATCCTGTTTTTAAAAGCAAAGTAGATAGTTCCTAGAAGTTGTCCTCTGACCACCATACATGTGCCCAAATGCACATGTATATACACACACACACACACACACACACACACACACACACACGTACACACACACACACACACAAGTACTGCAGGCAGTGTGGTGTAGCTACCATATTAGTGAGACAGACTTGAATCTAAGTCCCAGCGCCATGCATAAGGGTTTTGTGACTTCAGGAAAATTATTAATAATGTCTCATGCCCAGGGCTAACAACAATGTGAACTTCCAGGTTATTTGAGGATTAAATATGTTAAGTGTTAAAAGCACTTGGAAGGCTGCCCAGCACACGGTACCCCTTCAGTGAATGATGGCTGTCATTGCTGTTTAACAGCTGTGCAACCTGGAGCAGGTGAAACCTGCCAAGTGTGTTTACAGAGGTGAAGGATGAGTACAGTCATAGAATGATTCAGTGACCGCTGTGCCAGCAGCTCTTGTTTTATTGTTTTCCTGCACCACAAGGGCCGGGTCCCCATTACAGTTCCCTTTTCAATTACGAGGACACTAAAATTAAAAGCCTTAAGCTGGGTTATCACTCAGCTACTCAGAACCAAAGCCTTGTGTTGTGCCAGAAGCCCAAGACAGAGCACCTGGGCCAACATCTGCCATGAGTGGGGCTCAGCAGGTGTCTCCAGGGTCCTCTTGAGCCAATCTGTGCTTCCATTCCCCCACTGCTATCTGCTCAGTTGATTAGAGTTCCATGCCATCATCACTGGAAAACCCTTGAAAATATGGAGAGGGACATCACTCTGCCTTCATGGCTGAAAGCTCTCCATGAAATCAAGTAGGCAAGAGTTTCACATGAAAGCGCCCCCTAGCCTCACTCTGCTTCTTCTCATGCTCCCCACACCACAGCCCACGCCTGTCCTATCCATTGCCACTCTAACTAGTAACAAGTCCTTGATACACTACTACACCCAAACTCTAAGTGTAGGGTCTGATACTCAGAGAGCCTGAAGTGAGACTACCTGGGGATACCTCCATCGAAGATCTCAGATGAGTATACAGTCCTTGCTTTGTTCATCAAAATCAAATATAAGGTGCTGTCCCTGGGACAGAGGGCTCACCTAAAAGGCTGGGGATCTTCAAGGCTAGCTTGGTTTCAGTTCTTCCTTCCCAAGTCATAAGTATTTGTCATACACTGAGCCATATGCTTGCTAGGGTTTGCACAACTTGCTCTGTTGCAGAGCTCCTAGAGGACGGCTATGTACTGAACACCAACTCATCCACTTCCTGCCATAACTCTGACAACTACCATCACTACTTATGGTGTCCTCAGATAAGCCTGAGAAGTGGTCGTTGCTGAACTAGGAGGCAGATCCAAGCAACAATTCCTCATCTTAGTCTCAGCTGTGTGCCTATGACCTTCTGGGTCTATAAACTTCTGAATACACAGTCCTGGCACCCATCCCAGATGTACCAGTCAGATTCCCAACAACAGAGTTTTGAAAACCCTGTGGTTTTTCTACTCATCAACATTTGAGAATTAGGATAAGACATTATGGGCTCTCTCTCAAGTGATGCTCTAGCTGATGTTTTGAACAGGATGAAACTATGTGAAGTATAAATATGTGTGTGGCTGATGCTTGGTGTCATTGTTAATTGACCAAAGTATCTCATGGAATGTGTGCACAGGGGTAGAATTTGGGAACAAAATTTACTTCCAAAGGAAGCCATCCAGTGTTTCCCTTAGTGACTTTTGCAAGGGGCCTGTCACCAAGTGCCAAAGCAACTTTTGTGTAAACTGCATTCAGGCCATCAACCCTTGCTGGCCACAGAACAGCTGCATTTTGATGAACACACTCCAGTCCCAGGTACAGATAATGTGTCATCTCCTACCACCCTCCTAGAGTGTGTCCTGGTGGAGAAACATGAGCAATGGACTCGGAATCCAAATTCAAGTTGCTATTAGCGCTCTTGCTATGGGTTACTTTTACTGTTTCCTATGATTCTGGTGCAATCTCGGACTGCTCCCTTCTCAATCCTCTTTCCTGCTCTGTTATGAACTTCTGTCTTCTGTAACAGGACAAGTGCTCAAACTGGACACAGCTACCTACCAACTACCACTGGTTGGGAGAGCATAGACTATGCTCAGGTCCCCGGAAGGCCTTGGGAGAAACCTGTGGGTCCAATAAAGTCAAGTCTCTTAGGTTTGCTGAAGCCAGGGAGAACGTGACCTTAAGAGGCTTAGTGATGTCTTAGAACGAGGACCTAGGAAGCTTATGCCATAAGGGCTTTGGGTTAGTGGGCGCAGCAATGGGCTTGAGGAGGAAGCACCATTCCTGTCTGATTAGCTCTTGCCTGGTCCAGAGTTTTATCTTACAAGAGTAGATGCTTACTTACTTAACTGCTTACTAGCAATTCTTTATTATTATTATTTAAAAAATGTTACTCATTTTACATACCAACCACAGACCCCCCTGTCATCCCTTCTCTTGCTCCCCCTCAGCCTATCCCTCACCCCCATCCCCTCCTCCAAAATGGTAGGAGCTCCCATAGGGAGTCAGCAAAGCCTGGTACATTCAGTTAAGAAAGGACCAAGCCTCTCTCTGCTGTGTCAAGGCTGAGCAAGATGTCCCACCATAGGTAATAGTTGGGCTTCAAAAAGCCAGCTCATACACCAGGGATAGATCCTGATCCCACTGCCCCTCAGACAGATTAAGCTACACAATTGTCTCCCATATGCAAAGGGCCTAGTCTGGTCCCATGCTTGGTTCAGTTGTCTCTGTAGATTTCCCCATCATGATCTTAACCCCTCCTTGCTCATATAATCCCTCTTCCCTCTCTTCATCTGGACTCTTGGAGCTCGGCCTGGTGCTTGGCTGTGGATCTCTGCATCTGCTTCCATCAGTTACTGGCTGAAGGCTCTATGATGACAGTTAGGGTATTCACCAATCTGATTACTGGGGTAGGCCAGTTCAGCACCTTCTCCACTATTGCTAGCTTACTATCAATTCTGAGTGTGCAGCCACGTTTGTCTGTGGCCTGGATTATGCAGCACTATAGAATGCACGGTCTGGGACCAAACCCATGTAAACACTCAGCAACTTTAAACTTCATTAGTCTCATCTTGACAGAGCCCAGAATGCCTTATTTCTGTGAATTTCCCCTATCATGGTATAAGGACAGAACAATGACTCCCAGGCATGTGTGCTAAGTCACGGAGACCCAGAGGAAGAAAGATGCCTCCACAATGTGTACAAATCATGGCACTGACCCACATCCTTACCCAGTGCTGCTGACATAGATCCCTTGCTTCTTGAAGCATATGAAGCCCTGGAGGAAAAATGTAGGTGCTTCATTAACTCCTGTTCTCTCTATATACTGTATAGTGAATAGGGGCTAAAAACTAACCAGCACTTGTTGGTGTGTTGGTGTGTTCATGTTCGTGTGTGTGTGTGTGTGTGTGTGTGTGTGTGTGTGTGTGCATGCATGCATACATGCATGTATGAGAGAAGGGGAGAGAGGGGAGAAAGAGGGAGAGGGAGAGAGAGAGAGAGAGAGAGAGAGAGAGAGAGAGAGAGAGAGAGAGAGAGAGATAGATCCTAGGAGCAAACCTGCATGCGGGAGCTGAGTGCAGGTGGTTGATCTAGGAGGCAGTCCCATGATGCAGGAGTTGGAGGAGAGGAGGCAGGAAGCCATGCAGTATAGGCTACAGAAGCCTTCATGAGGAGAGGAAGCCAGCAGAGTCCTGTTCTCAGAGCATTTCCACTTGCAAGCAAATGAAAGCAACAGGATGAGTGCCCTTCAAACAGAGTAACTTGAAGAAAGATCTTTCCTGACAAAGGAATACAGTTAGATACCATGCCCTCCTCTCTTCCCAGCCAAGCTTTGGAAGCTGTTCTGGAAGGCTGAGCCCTAGATCCCATTGCCAGTCTCTATGCTCTTTACTCAGATGTCAGACCTTAGGTTAAGCTTTCAAGTTCTTACACATAGAGTCAAAAGTGATAGAAGGGGAACACCCACAGCAACCAGTCCTCTATTCCTCATCAGCAGGAGTGGGATGGGCTATGGGCAGCACTGGCTTCTCTCTACTAAAGGTCCTCGGAAGGTATAAAGGGTACAAGCCCCTGGCTGTGTGGACTCACTACAGCTGGGGTGAGGCACACCCAATCTGGGATGTGTGATAGTCTGTGGTTTACTCTCTCTTTTTTTTTCCTCTCCCAACTGGGCTTTTCAAAAGTATTAGTAATTCTCTGCTGTCCCGAAAGTAGGTTCTATAACTATGACAAGCCATAATGATAGTTACCACTGTTACTAAGAAATTGCTAGCAACAAAGGAAGGCTTTTCACATTTGGAAAATGGGCAAGATACCTGCTTTTGGATCAGCCTGACTTCACCTGGGCTCTGAAGACTACGCTCCTTCTTTAAAAAAAAAAAAAAAAAGAGTATTAGGCAACCCCTGTGGGAAAGACGTGCAGATTTGTTTAAAAATAGTCTTTTGTTTTAGTGGACAGAATTCAGCTTGGTTACCATCTTTTATTGTTAGAATGAGAAGTTCGAGACACTGGCATTCACGGGTACCAAAGAAAATTACTGTGGATGTCAGTAAACAAAATTACCAAGTCAGGAGTAAAGCCAATGGATTATAACACAGTATAGGAAAAAGGTTTGAGTTAAACAGGGACTTTTTTTTTTTTTTTTATGGTTGAAAAAGTCAGCGGACTCTTTATTGTTACTGGGGTGTAGGGCTTAGGAGCTCTTGGTGGGATGGGTCCATTTCCTCTTTACCACCACGGGCTTCTGGCTTCGCAGGATGGCACTGGCCCTGCGGATGGCAGCCATGTGCAGATCGGGGCGGTACTTGTTCTTTCGGATCATGTACCTGATGCTGCTCAGGGTGGCCTGTGCATTTTTGTTGATGGTGGTCCTCACATAAGAAGTGGCTGGTTTTCGCTGACCCGATCTGTGTTTCATGACCTCCACGACCCCTTTGCTGTCGGCCGTGGGCTCCACTCCCACAGTCTTGCGGTGAATCAGCCCGTTGTAGCGGAAGGAGTTGCAGGCCTTCAGATTATCGGGTTCAGCGCTGTACGTCTGCTTATTCCTCTTGATGAGGAAACTGGAACAGTTCCGAACGACCATCCATTGCAGATGCGCAGACATGGCGGCCGGAGACAGAAAGAGGAAACAGGGACTTCTTGTCAGACTCCATCTTTCTATGATCTATCCATTTATCTATCTATCTACCTATCCTCTATCTTAAAAACAGTTATCATTATTATTTTTGTAGTGCTGGAGACCAAACCAAGGAGTTCGTCGATGTTAGCCAAGTACTCTACCAGTGAGCTACATCCATAGCTTCTGGTAAAATCTCATTCAGTCAGAAAAATAAAGCAACTGGAAAACTCATACAAAGTGTAAAATCTCAGGACTATAGTGTTCAAACTCATTGGTTGTTGATGGCTGTACCTTTCTCAAACCTCCTGGACCACACACAGGATCAGAGGCAGTAGAGCCAGCACTTTCTTCTTATCACGATTTATTGCTTGCTTATGCCCATTTCTTTTAAGGTTTTTAAAGCGGCAGTACTTGTTTCCAGTAGAGGGATGTTAAGAGGGTTGGTGCTCACAACTCATGGGAGAGAATGTGACCACACGGCCATAAGAACCTGGTACCTACATGTGCTGAAAAATAACATCATCTGTATGCACAATCTCCGGCCTGGCTGGCAGTGAACTCCAGGTGGGAAGGCATATTGAAGGGGTTCTGTGAGCCTCTAAGGTTACTGAAGTCTCAGCATCTGGGGTCATTTCGATATGGCCCACATCTGTCTTTGTGACAAAGAGAGTTGTCATGGATAACAGTCTCCACCATGAGTATGGGACTGGAATGGAGTGGAACTTGGTATATATTATACATCCAGAGGCTGGCACATCCCAGTATCTTGCTTTCACAGTATATATGATCACTGTGGTTACTTTCTGTATGTTGATGCTGCTTTAGTTTTGGATCCCAGCTTTCATCCTTTCACATACTCCACCAGCTTCCAAAGAAGACAAATGGCCTTGAAGCATTAGGCTTGGAGCACTCAGGACAGTGTTGCTCTCTAATAAGACAATCTCTTTTTAGTCAGTAGACATCCAAAGCAAGCTCTGAAAATCTAATTGGTTGGCTACATTAACGTGAAAACGTTTACCCACAGCTACGGAATATGGGATAATCCACAGATCTGCAGGTGTCTGGCTAAGGTCCTGAATGTCTCCTTTTCTATGGCAATTCCTGGAGATCTTCCTGCAAGTGACAAGGGGTAGGGGCAGGCCACTGCAGCACAGCCTCCAAGCAGCTGTTGCATAGTTTCTCTCTCTGCCAGCATACACATTGTTCTCAGGGTTTCTTTCTGATCAAAAGCCTTTGTGCTTTTTTGTTTTTAAATTTAGAAAGCGTTGGATCCCTGGCTGGCTATTATAAAGATGTTACAAGCTAATGCTGAGGTGCAGCAACAACATCAAAAAGAAGGGAGAGAAGCATTGTATAGAAAGACCTGAAGAAATCCAGGTGGCGTATGTACAGCCGGTGAATTTCTTAACTCATTCCAACTCAGTGCAGATTGGCAGAGACTCTGACCAAGGGGAGGAGAGGTGCACAGGCAAAAACGGCCCGGGGGAGAGAGGGAGGGTTGGAGGGAAGAAGAGAGGGAAGGAGCAAGAGAGAAGGAGGGAGGCAGGGAGAGAGAGGGAGGGAGAGAGAGGGAGGACCTGCAGTCATCTAAAGGTTGACTGAGTCAAGTGTTTTGTTTATAAAATCATCCTTCCCTGGCTTTCCATTGTTTACTTGCAGATGACGTTAATTTTCAAAGATGTTATCCTTCTTTGTAAGGGTGATTCATGCCCCTTTGTTTGAGAATGGGATGCCACATGAAAGTAGAACAAAGGAGAAAATCGGAACTCATGTTTTATCTGAAGTCACTCCAGAGTCCTGTGTACATAATGCTCCCATTCTACTAGAACAAAATGTGTCGTTGCAAATGCCTTTGTTTCTTTTCACTTAATAGTTTAATATAATCATCACATGCTGTTGCAATTCTTTTGTAAGCATCACTCACAATTTTACCTGTGTTTTTCTGACTGATGTCAGTTTTTCCCATTCTTCTACACAGAAACATTTGCAGTGTTTTAGGATGCTCTTACTTTCCACACTGACTCTTTTACTCTTGACCACAGTCATGAACCATACACCATGAAGAAACTCACATTCCAGATGCATGTGGCCACCAATTCACTATAACAAGCCACTCTGCCTTTTTATTCACTTATTATCTGGCTATAGCCACACATATTTTCTAATTCTCAGTGTCAAGTGTGACTTCCATGGAAATAAATACCAAAGGATTAATCCTTCTATTTGCTGCCCTAGGTCAGACCATTCTCTTTGGACACAAGTTGAGAAGTTCTCACTGGTGAATTTCAGTGGAAAGGGGAAACCCACCCCCAACTCTGTGGGAATGGTAAGGGGCCTGGGCAGGAAACAGATAGGACCTGGGCGAAGTAAGCCCCTTGCATTATCAGCTGTAGAAGGTGTGACCCACAGCCATTCTCTTCCTGCATCCCAGAAGCACATACCTGGAAGTAAAGTCCCGAGAAAGAGCACTGGAGAGAAAAAAGCATCTAGTTCCTGTGGAGGTGACAGGATGACTGAGAAGACTCCAAAGGTCTATGCTGTGTGCTTCTCTAACTATTAAGAAGTGCCATTAGGAAGGAGGGACAGGTGCTGGGTGGCCAGAAAGTGACAGACACACACAGAAGCTACCATGATTCTGTGTTGGCTAAAGAAAATCCCAATCTGCTCTTTCGCCTTCCTCTGTTTTCTTGCAGTTATGCAGCCTGGCACACACTCTTATTTGTCTCTACCTGGAGAAGGCAAGCCACACATATTCAGAGAGTTTAGTGGACCGGATGGATGCATGACTTACACAGATTTACCATTTCTTAAGTCTCCTCCTATGAGGTGAGCAGGATTCTCTACATGTGCTGTCTGCCTCCCTGCCCTCTAGTCTCTGGCCCTGGCCCTGTGCCATGCTGGACTAGTGCGATGCAAAGAACACATATGATACCTGCTGTGTTTAAACTGATGGTTTAAGGAGAATCCTGGGAACATATTCTTCCTCGAATCCAGGAACAAATGTTACAGAGAGTACAGCTGCAGCCCCACACAAGAAATGCGAGTTTGCTGCTATAAGGCTACTGAGTTTTGCAATTCTTTTTGTTACTGAAGAAAATCTGACTAATATAGTGGATGGTGAAGACCCTGTAGGTGAACAAGGCTTTTCTCCCTTAGAAGCAAAGTCTGCAGAGACTGGCTGTAGTCACAGCTCTTACTGACTTTTGTGAATAGCTAGGCAGCAGTGAGGGAACCGTTACTATCTAAGAAGCAGTGGCTCTTCTAGGAATTAAATATCTGTTTCCCTACCTTAACTCCACCTCTATATCTAAATTCCAACTAACGGCACAAGAAGAAAAGATGAAAAGTAACTTATTAAAGACGTGAGAGCTGAGATGGGAAATCAGAGTTAGAGACTCCGCAGAAGTAAATGATAATACATGTTACTTAAAATCGGCCTCGACCCAGCCTGTTCACTGTATGCAAAATACCCCAACAGGTCACAGAAGAAGGTCACAAAAATCATCATCACTCAATACACAGTCTCTCTGTGTTCAAAAGATGTGCCGGGGAGAAGACAGATGCCTCACCCACAGTGGGCAACACAAGCGACAAGGGCAGAGGTCAAAAGTTATTTGTGTTTGTCAGTGTGCTTCGGGAGGCTGTGCACACTGGCCTGAAACAAAACTCTAAAGGTCAGTTTTGTCTGCTCTTCTGGCTCCCAGCTTGCACCTGCCTTTATGACCCTCTGTGTACAAAGAATGGGGCAAGAGGCCTTTGAAAAAACTAATACTAAACAGGCCATTTCCTGCAGTAAAATGAAGCCCAGGCCGAGGTTTTGTTAAATTCATACTGAATTTATAAATCTGGTTCGAAAACATAACCACTTTTTTTCTTCCCTCCAGAATTCCCCAGAAGTTTAATTTTTAGGAAACTTGTGTACAAGACACCCAAATTATTTGTAGTGACACTTTGGGTGGAATCAGTGGTCCAGATTGCATTTCTCTCTGCAGAAAATTTGAGTGATTTTTATCAGCAGAACTAAAGAACTGAAGAACTAAGACCAGCACAGAAGCCCCTTGCCTCAACTGAGGATTTCACCCTCTGTGTCTCTGGGCCACATCCTAGTCTTGGCACTAAGGGTCTGAAAACCACTGCAGGGGAGATGGAGCTGTGCCAGCATCTCAGCAGAGCTTGTCACCAGCTAAATGAGGATGGCAATCAAGACTCCATTGGACTATTGGGAGGATTTGGCAAGACGGCTCATAAAAATATGCAGTAGGATGTTTGACACAGTTGTCTCCAAGGCCGTGGTTGTTCCTTAGCTCTGCCTGAGGAAAATATTGCATGTTTTAGGTCACATGTAGGATGCGTGTATCAGAGGAACAGGAAGGTGACTGAAAGGAAACATGGGTATGTTGCATAGTATAAAGTCATTACACACTGGGCTAATTTTCCATCACTATAGCAAAATGTCTTGAATAAAATGAGGCTTACTCTGCTTTTGCGCAGTCTGGAGGTTCCACTCCAAACATCAAATCTCCCCCTTGCTCTGGGCCTGCAGTGAGGTGGCATGTGACAAAAAAGAAACCTCACTCACAGACAGGCAACAGAAGGAAAAGAGAGGGAGGTCCCAGGGTGGGTCCCACAATGCACTCTGAGGGTACACCCCCAACCATGTAGTAGCCTCTCACAAGGCCCGACCTCAGTACACCAGACTGGGTACAAGGCCCCACCTCAGTACCACAAGCAGAGTTTGGAGTCTTAAACCTATGAGCCTCTGAGGAACATTGACAGATCCAAATGACCGCACATGGATCTTCCTAAGGGCATGAGAAAATCCTGGTGTTGTGTGGAGTAACACTCAGATATCCGGTGCCATCATTTGTGTGTCACCAGGACTGGTACAAAGCAGTACCCCAGCAGGGACTCAGCAGCATCAGACGTGGGAGGGGCGGGAATGGAGCACACAGGTGACACACCAACTTCAAATTCACATTCTGTGTCTGCATTCACATTTACCAAC